AACACTGGCATATTTACTCAGTGTCTACTTTATTTATTTATTCTTGATTTTTATTTAACTTTAAAGTAGTAGAGTCATTTACTTGTTTACTTTTTTTTTTATTATCATCATTCTAAAATGCAAAGTTGACTACATTGTTGAAACACAAGGTGCGTGGTTGGCGGACTCCTCTAGTCGCCTATGGAGTTAGTTCTGTAGTTTAGCTGCTCCTCTATAGAGTGGATCAGCGCAAGCCCTCCAAGTTCTGTTCTGAGTAAGGAGGGGAGACAAGTTGTATAAATGTTCATATATGTAAGTATGTATACAGTGTCTTTTTTTTGTTGTTTCTTTTGTTTTGTTTTTTTTGTATGTCCTACACTCAACACAGCAGAAAGTTTCATTACTCCTCTTTCCTGTACAAAGGACTTACCAAATTCTATATGGAACAGACGGCCAATCAGAATATCTCTGATATAAAGATTACGAGTTGGAATGTTAGGGGGCTAAGGAAGTTGACGAAGGTGAAGCAGGTCATCAACAGGATTAAACAACTGAAGTCAAAAATAATTTTTCTTCAAGAAACACATCTGACAGTTTCTGATATCAAACCGATACAGAATAGATGGCCCGGTAAAGTGATACATGCATCATATAATAATTACGCTAGAGGCGTACTTATTTTAATTCATAGAAGTATACCTTTCCAGGCTATAAAAACAATTAAGGATCCATCTGGGAGATTTGTCATCCTGCATGGTAATATCCTCTCCCTCACATTAAACTTGGTTAGTATATATGGCCCAAATGAGGATAACCCTAAATTTTTCGAAAATCTTTTCCTTACTATGTCCACGTTACGGGGTGTTTATATTATTGGAGGGGACTTTAATTGCACGTTAAACCCAGACACGGATCGCTCCACAGGTTGTGATACTTATAAGGTGCAGACTAGAAAGCTGCTAAAGCAATATATAGTGGACTTAAACTTGATTGAAGTTTGGCGAGAGCAGAATCCGAGTAAAATCGAATACTCTTGTCACTCAAGCATGTATAAATCTCGCTCGCGTATTGATTACTTTCTTGTTTCAAGAGATCTCCTCTCAAAAATTAAAGGATGTTGGTATGACAGCATAGTAATAAGTGATCATGCTGCTATTTCATTAAATATGCATATAGAGAGATTAGTCCACAATCCCCCTAATTGGCGATTGCAGGTAAGATGGTTACAGGACCCGGACTTTGTTAAACATGTTGGAACTAAAATAGACACTTATTTTGAATTAAATACAGATCAAACCAGCGCTGGCACGAGGTGGGAAGCATTTAAAGCCTACATTAGAGGAGAAATCATTAGTTACACAAGCTCCAAGGCCAAACAGCAAGGAGTAGCAATGGAAACACTGGAAAAACAAATTAAATCTTTAGAGATAAGTCTAAATGTAAAGGACGATCCAAGGAAACATAGAGANATAAGCTCTCATCATGGCCGAAAATTGGAACAAAGGACTGTATTGAACTGAGAGAGTTCTCTGATTTTCTCCGGGGTTGTGAAGCAGCAATGTCTCAGATAAGGAGTCTCGAGGTTCTAAATGACTGCAGTGAGAACCAGAGAATGCTCAACAAGTTGCCTGATTGGCTTACAGCAAGATGGAATAGACAAGTCATTCAGATTGAAGAGGAGACGGGTTCATTTCCAACATTTAGCAACTTTGTTGACTTTGTCACAAGAGAAGCTAAAATAGCATGTAACCCAGTGACATCGCTACATGCTCTCAAGGCAAATGACTCAGAGAAAGTGAAAACTTTAAAGGCTCAAAGTGTCTGTGCTAAGGCCTTTGCAAGCAGCACAGAAGAGAGAACAGAAACAAACAAATGTGTTTTCTGTGAAAAATTAAATCATGACATTCAGAATTGTCGGAAGTTTATGGAGAAAGCCATACCTGAAAGAGTGAAGTTTGTAAAATTAAAAAGACTATGTTTTGGATGTCTCAGTTTTGGACACCAATCCAAAAAATGTGAAAGAAGAAGCATTTGTAACACCTGTAAGGGAAAACACCCAACATGTTTACACGAAGAACGAGACAAAGAGTCCAGAAGAAAGAGGGACAGCGATAAAGAACAAAGTGAAGTGAAAGTAACCAAAGAACAAGGTAAAGAAATATCAAATGAAGCAATCTCAAACCGTGTTATCCAAGGTGATAAGAGCAATCTCACATCTACAATGATTCCAGTTTGGTTATCCACAGCAAGCAATCCAGAACAGGAAATGTTAGTATACGCCCTTCTGGATAGTCAAAGTGACACTACATTTGTTCTTAAAGAAAAGGCAGATGCTCTGGACACAGAGAAAAGAGAAGTACATTTAAAGCTCTCTACATTGTCATCTAAAGATACTGTTGTTCCAAGTCAAAGGCTCTCTGGGCTACAAAGCAGAGGTTTCTACTCTTCAAAGAGAATCCCTCTTCCTATGACATATACTAGAGATTTTATTCCAGCCAATTTAAGCCATATTCCCACACCAAAGACTGCAAGAGCATGGCCTCACCTGGAGCACCTGGCTGAAGAAATTGCCCCTCTTATTGAATGTGATGTTGCTTTGTTAATAGGTTATAACTGTTCGCAAGCATTGGCACCAAGAGAAGTTGTGTCAGGAAAGGACAATGAGCCCTTTGCTCAAAGGACA